AGGATGGACCCCCTTCTCTGTTATTTGGCATGGTATCACTCCTCGGGAGTCTATTTTCTTTTTTAAATAAAAATTGTATATATTTAAAATGTACAACATGACAACTTGATATACATATAGAAAGTGAAATGATTATTACAGTCAAGCTAATTAACATTTCTCCTCACACAGTTACTTCTGTTGTGATGAGAGCACCTGAATATATCTAGAGATCTAATAAACAGCATGAGGACTGTAGCTAACACTACTGTATTGAATACTGGCATCTGTGTTTTTATCGTGGGCTTCAGTGTTCTTATTTTCAGGTAGGGCTGGGAGTTCCAGGTTTAAAGGCGGGGGTAACTGGGAGATCAGCCATAATCTCAGGTGAAATCACCTGGCTGATAAATGCATTCAACCAATGAACAAGCAGTTATTGGGCAGGTGAAAGGACTGTTTTCTCTGTGTTCTCTGGATATAGAAGTTGACAAACCACACATAGTCCCTGCCCCCATGAGACACCAAAATTCAGGAGAATGAATCACTCTGTCAAACACTTTTCTTACTATAGAACAGGGGAGCTCGAATTAGACAGCTTAATGGTCTATGCCCTGCCCAAACATACATGATTCTAGAAAAAGAAACCAGTCTGATTCTGGAGGAAGAACTCCAGCAAATGTTTGGTTCCCCAGGGGCTAAAAGAGAGCTGCTCTATAAGGAAGCATGTACACAGGAGAGTGAATACCTTCGGAAACCACAGAGTATGGTCACCTGTACGCAGAAGCGGACTGTAGAGACCATAAGCAAAGAACTCTTCCAATTCATGGAGAAAAAAGCCAAGTCAAAAGACTTTAAGCAGAAAAGACTCACATGACAGGGTGATCCAGGTGGAAGTTAGCCTTGGGCACGGCTGGGTGGCAGAGCCCCAGGGATGTTTTCAAGGCCCTGCTCTCTCTCTCTATTCCTTGACTCTGTTGTATGGAACTCAGGGCTGCAGCCAGGAGCCCAAACAAGATTATCAGAGCTCAGTCTCTCCTTTGGGGTGAGAGAGGTCACAGCAGTCCCAAGGCCTAAACTCCTGATGAAGCAACCACCATGGAGAGGGTTTCTCTGAACAGCACTCAGAGAAGAGTTGAGAAGAAGACGCTGACTGGCCCCCCTTGTAGGAGAAAAGCTGAGAAGAGGACCCTGATTGGCCCACCTTGTCCCAAAGCTTGAGGTCGGAAGTTACAGCAGGATTCTGATTGGCCAGGCCTTGCAAGTGGAGGTCAGCCCCAATGAAGGGCTGGGAATGGGTTTCTCTCATCAAAAATGGAAGAGGGGTGTCGTTCTCTAAAGCAAGGGATGCTAGCAAACAGTGACCATTTTAATAAGACACTAACTGCTGGTGTTGACTGCCAAAGGCAGGTAACAGGGGGCGCATTAGCTCCAGGGTGCACAGCTGGGTCTGGGCTGAGAGGAGACTCCTGAAGGCCACTTCTACCTGTCTGTATGGCTAGTTGAGCTGCTAGAGATTTGGAAAGGAATAGATGGAAGGGGATGCCCCAACAATTGTTAGTAAACTATTTAAACCTATGACAAAGCAATACTGGCTTCCTCATAATCACCATGTTAGGTGATTGAGGAAAATAAAACCTTTTCTTGAGAAATACTATAGCCTAGATAGAGTGATGCCAGAGGTGGTCACTTGGCCTCCAAGAACTGCTACTGTTCCTAACGTAGCAGCTTCTGCCAGCCATGACCAGAGAGCATTAAGGAAGTCAAGTGTTTCAGTAGGACTCCTGGGTTCTCTCTCTTTTTACCCCCCGAGACATGAGCAGTTTTTGCATTACCTTTTGGTTCCACTACAGGGCTCTTTGTCCAATATGATCCTCCAACAGGCTAGTGGATAATTGCCCACCTACTGCTTGGAAGTGCCACCTTGGGCTGGCAGTGATGGGTGGCTTATGCCCAGGCATCTAGGACTACACCTACATGCACAAATGTGAGCATTGTTCCTTAGCTTGAAGCATTTTGGGGATTCAATCCAAGGTTGAGGGAAGGTGATGGCAGCTGGGAGCTCTGGAACTAATCAAATTTCAGGAGACTGAAGTTATCTCCTGACCTTAGAGAGGAAGGGAGTTACCTTTCAGATAATAGACTGAATTCTTTAACATGATCATGTTCCAGCTGAGATTTGGAAGGACCACATTCCTCCCACTTCTCTGAACATCTTACAGCAGTTAACAGCTCCATCATATCACATGCTGAATAACCTCGATTGTTTACTGGACCTCATCTAGTCTTAACTTAGTTCACAAACAATTCTAATAGGTTGGGTATTTTTCCCAGTCTTCAACAGATTAGAAACAGTAAATTTTATATATATATATATATATGTGCCAAAAAAGAAAAAAATAGCATTTGTTCAAGAAATATTTATTTAACTCCTGTTTTGTGCTAGGCATTAGAGATACAGTAGTAAGCAAGACAAAGTTCCCACCCCCATGGAACTTAGAAGCATTAAGCAAATAATTGCAAACTATTATGGCTGCGGTAAAGGCAACAGAAGATAAGCAGAGTTCTCTGAGAGCTTGTAGCAGGACCAAACCTAACTCGCTGGGATCATGGAAGGCCTCTGGAAGAAGAGATTTAAGCTGAAGCATGGAGTAAACATGCAGTCAAAAAAGGAGCAGGAGTGTGAGGAACTTGGAACTCACAAACCTGCGAGAAACCTGTGCAGCCAGGGCAGAGAAGTATGGAAAGAGCTGAGTGTGGAGCCATAGGCAGGGGCCAGACTGGCAAAGGCCTCTTTGGTTACATTAAGGATTTTCAACGTGAACCATGGAGAGTTTTGAGCAGAGAAGTAACACAGTTACATCTTTATAGCATCACTCTGCTTGGCATGTGGGGAATGGATCGAAGGGAGGCAGGAGTGGATGTAAGTGGAAGAGAAAAGAGGTTGTTACTGAAGTCTAGAGGAGAGGTAACACCTGTACACTGGACCATTTTAACTATGAGCAGGAGGTAGAATCAATGGGCTTAAAGGTGGGTTAGGTGTGCCAAGTTAAGAGAAGGCAAGGATCAAAGATTATCCCTGATTTCTGGCATGAGAAATTCAATGGATATTGTTGACATTTACTAGGGAAAGAAAGTGTGTAAGAATTTGGAGGGACTGTGAATTTCATTTTGGATTTTGACTGCAAGGTACATACAAAATATCCAGGTGAAGATGCAGAGGTGGTTGGATAGATGGGTCTGAAGCTCAGAAGAATGGTCTGGGCTGGAACTATAAAGTTAGTGCTATATGTTTGGAATAGAGATGAAAATTAAGGCCACAGGTTTGGACAAGATCACTTAGGGGAAAAGTATGGTAATAGAACAGGACTTAGCTTTGATCACCAAAGAAGTCTACCATTTTAAATGGGAGTGGAGGAAATATGAAAACTGGTGAGACGCAGGGGTCTGGTAGCAGACTCCATGGCCCCCAATGATCCCCAGCTCCTGGTGTTTCTGCCCTTGTGTGGTCTCCTCCCTCACAGACTAGGGCTAACATAACCTATGTAGGCAATGTATTGTAGAAATGACAGGGCATGACCAACGTTGTGGGTATAGAACCTAGTTAAGACCTTGGAGAGATGCTCTGACAATAAGAATCCTCAGGGTATTGTCCCTCAGCAGTCTGAGCAGAAGCCCAAGGCAGAGAGGGACTGCTCTCAAAGAAATTTGTGGGTGTAGCTTTTGCTTGATGGAGTGAACTGCAAATAAGACTCATAGGGAACATATAAGTGTGCAAAATAATCCTATTCATAGTAACACTATTAGCTTGGACTGAGATACAGCACAAAACCTAAAGAGGCTTTTGGACCCCCAAAATTCTACTGAGCGGAAACAGAATGAGAAAACTATGTAGCTGTAAACATGGGCTACTTTTCGTAGGAAAGGAAGGGTGATTCAGGATGAGGCAGAGCCCAATCTCCTCAAATAATCCCCAATGTCCCCCACCTCCTGCTATTCACACCACTGGGTAATTCCCTCCTACACTGAATAGTATTGACTTGTGTAACCAGTATTTTGTAGATTAAGTGTGTGATATTTCAGGACAAGTCATGAAAGCCATTATAGCTTTCACTTTGTTTTTTAAAATTAAAAAAAAAAAGTTTATTGATTTTAGAGGGAAAAACATCGATGTGCAAAACATTGATTGCCCCTCATTGAGCCCCAACTGGGGATTGAACCCATAACCTAGGTATATGCCCTGACTGGGAATCAAACCCCCAAACTTTTGGTGTATGGGATGACACCCGAACCAACTGAGCCACACTGGCCAAGGCCCACCTTACTCTCTTGAATCACCCACTCCAGGGGAAACCAACTGCCACGTCATGAGGACGTTAGAGCAGCCTTACAGAGACGCCCACATGGTGTGGAACTGCGGAGTCCTGCCAAGTCATGTGGATGGCCCATCCTGGGAGTGGACCCTCTAGCTTTAGTCAAGCTTGCAGATGACTGCAGTGCCAGCCAATGCCACGAGGTGACCCTCGTGAGAGACTAAGCAAAAGCTACCCGGTGAAACTGTGCCCAAAACCTGACCAATAGAAACTGGTTGGTAATATTTGTTGCTTTAAGATGATGTCTTGGGGGTAATTTATTATGTAGCAATAGATAATTACTACACGGAGACAGACCAGGAGAGTATGAGTTCATGAAAAGCAAATGAACTCTGCTTCAAGGAGAGTGGATAACTATGTCAAATGTGTTAAATAGCCAAATGAATGATAATAAAGCTTATATAATGATCCTGAATTTCATTTAGATTTATTGATTGTGAAAAACAAAACTCACCAAAACCCTACTATGCTTGGTATACTTGGTTAGGGAAAACTGAGAAGTATCTATTGTTCTTTTGAAAGACTTCAAAAGTCTTAAAAAGACATTTTGCAAGTCTGTGACCCTTCTCAATGGCAATGAATAAATGTATTACTTATCTGGCCTATCAGTGACATTCTCATATGGACACACCATGTCATTACTATGCTGTAAGACTGTGAAGGGCAGAGAAACCTGTCCCATTGCACCTGGAATGTTAGATACACTGTAGGTGCTCATACAAGTTACCCCCCGACTAAAAAGCAAGAGCATCTTATAAGACTCCTAAAGTCCTCAAAAACCATCACTACCACATTTATGTTGCAATTTATGTATTAAAATTTTTTTCACATCTTATTTTATGCTCACAACAAACCCTGTGAGGTGGGTAGGTGGGTTTATAGAAAGGCAAATACAGTCACTCCCATTTCCCAAATGAGGGAATGGAGGCATAAGAGGCTTCAGTTACTTGGTTAAAGCCTCTCAAAATTTTCATGGTTGCAGGTCCTCTGGTATGAGGTTGAGCACTTTTTCCAGGCAGCATTTACCAGGGACTATTCATCTAGAATCCTCCTTCCACAAATTCTCTCAGGACAACTCTAACATGACTTTCTGCAGCAACCTAGAAAGTTTTATAATGTTTTCACAGTCCTTTCCGTAGCTGGAATCATGGAACGGGTAATGATTCTCTGTCTTCTTTCCACTTTGGCTCCTGTGTAGTGGTATAACCTGAAAGTGTTCCAAGGCAGTCCCCATGGGTGGCTAGACAATGCTGCCATTGTTCAAAACATTCCTTATTGGAAACTGCCTTCAGAGGACCAAAATTCTTCCCAGTAAGAAAACCAGTCTATTAGTTTACAATTATGCTTTGTTTTTTTGTAAATTACAAGCAGCAGCATCATCAGCTTGATCATCTGCCTTAAATATCAGATTTTTAACTGTTTCCTAAATTTCAATCTACCCTCAAAAGGTCAAAAGCTTACAAACATTGAGTATATTTGTTACAGACTCTAAGGGCATACCACAAAGGCATTTCAGAAAGGTTAGCAGCAATAGTATCTTTTAAACAGCATACTGGGAGGAAGAAAACCCTCACAAGGAATGTACAATAAAAATATTAATAAAAATAATGGCTTAAGTATGTTTAATGGCATTTTATACATTGTGTCTAATTTAATCCTCCAAAGAATTTTATGAGGTCAGATAAAGGTCTATTTGTTTAAACATCACACATACGCATGTGGTAACACCATTGTAATGTGCTTGTATCACAAAGGACAAAAACTAATTCCCAAAATTTACACTGTGAATAGCTGATGTCTCCCCTACAATAGTCGCCATCTCTCCAAAAGGCTGGTCTGTAGGGATCTGGCCCAATGTGGTGTTTTTCACACATTTCCAAGCCTGGCAGTAGTTTGCCATTCCCACATCAATATGCATTTTAGTCTCTTTTAAGTAGATACAAAGTGTATGGAACTGAAATAAGTACAGTTTTGGCTTCTGAAAAATTCAGGTAAGACATTTCCAATCTAACTAAGTTTAGCTCTGTGGCTCCAAAGTGACTTCTACTGTACCCATCTAAAGATGGAGGACACGAAGAAAATCAATTTTCAAATTTATCTGCTTCTTTTTTTCTCCCATTAGGATTAGTATAGAGGGTAAGAAATGAAGACTTAATACAAGAATCTATTCTTAAGTAGCAATTTAAAGAGTCACACTTTGGCACCAGATATCTGTATCTATCCATCTATATTTTAAAACTTGTCTTCCTTAAGAACCATCTCAGCAAGTGTGATCAGCACCTTATTTTTATCTCTTCATAGTGACAAAATCACAGAAGACAGCCATGTGACAATTGCTATAATCAAGGGTAAGACCAAGAGCCCACCCAAAGTAAGACACTCAGTGTCACGACTCCCAGGCCTTCTGCCATGACCACGGGCTCGAAACCATTTTATTATCTCCTGGAGGTCAAATGGCTGAGCCTCATAACCTAGCTCCTTCTTGGCCTTCTCTAGACTAAAGTAATGTGTGACACCAGTTTTATAAACTTCTGTGCGGGTAAGAAAGGGTTGGAAGTTGTAGAGTTGACCCAAAACAAAATGGGCCATCTCTGTTAGGAAAGCAAAACAGTAGATAAGGGTCAAGGGCAGGCGAATGGATGGGAATGGGTACCCTAGGCCCTCAACCAAAGGCCGGAAGAACTCAAAGTTGTTCACAGGTCTGCCATCTGAGATGAAGTAGGGCTGCCCAGAGGCAACGTAGCCCTTGTCAGCCTTCAGGGCCTCTGAGGCGAGAATGTGAGCTTGCACCAAGTTATCCACATGGACAAATTCAACCAGGCTCTGGGGATCCCCATACACAAACTTGAACAGGCCCCTCTCAATGTAGCTCACTATTCTGGGAAGGTGCCTTTGTTCTCCAGGGCCATAGATGCCAGCTGGCCTCAGAGCACAAGTTCTTAATATACCATTGCTTTCCAGGGATGTTCCATTGGCTTCCAGCACCTTCTTCTCGGCAATAGATTTGGTCCGAGAGTAGTGATCAGGATGGAGGTGAAGAGGTAGGTAAGGCAGAGATTCATCTCCATTTCTGATAACTTGACCTCCAAAGACGACATTGAAAGTGCTAGTGTAAACTAATCTTGGCACCCCTCTCTTCCTGCAAGCCTGGAGGATATTGTCTGTGCCCCCCACATTGACTTCTTCAATCAGGTTTCGATTCAGTTGCTCACGCCCTGACATCCCATAAGAGGCAATGTGGAACACACAGGTGACATCCACATCCTGGAAGGCTCTCTCTACATCAGAAAGGTGGCGAATGTCTCCACGTATAAACTTGATTCCTTCTGGAATGGTTTGAGCAGGGCTGCTGATGTCAAACAGAATCACATGGACTCCCTTCCGGTTCAGAGCACAGCCTAGGCTGGAATAATGAAGAGTAAAACTTAGATCAAATCACTATAAGCTGTGCCTAGGAAAAATGTGTAAAATAATTTACCAAGGCTTCTTCACTTATTCTCAATCTCTCACTTTGCATGTTCTTTGGGATAACGCTTATGCAAATATTAAAGAATAAGAATCCTCCCATCCACTTAAATTACAATGAGATGGTGGTATCTACATTTACATTTTTTCCCTCTGTTCCAGGACCCACCATTTACTCTTTGGAATATTTATGAATGACGACATAACTGAAAAAATCACTAAGATTTTAAATTGTTTTTGTTGATGTGAACATCTCCCCTCCCCGATTTAATGGCTTTGTAAAGAATTTTTCTTGACATGGAGTATATCCGTTATTTTCAATTTCACTATCTGAGTAGTGGGCAAAATCGTTCATTCCTGGCTTAACACTATACAAACAAGTAAAATCTGTACTGTGTTAATGTCAGAGTTGAGTTATTCTTTTTCCAGCAACTAGATGTAAAATAATTCCATGGACATATTTTATAGATGCACTGACCGGAAACCAAAATAGCCACCTCCTCCTGTAATGAGGACACTTTCCTTTGGAGGCTTTTGGGAGTCCATAAGTAGCAGTCTATGGAAACCTGGACCTGTAAGAAAGAAGTATGCAACACCGTTACTGATCCAAATGCAAATGCGATTGTCCCTAATTTGAGGTTAATGAAAAAAAGGCAGTATGCTCTAGTAGAGAGGTCTCTGGTGGCCGTGTGCAAACAGAAGCCAAAGCACTCAGCTGGGAGTGAGGGAGGAAAGGTTAGCCTGGTGTGCTCTCTTGGTCCTTGTGAAAGATCAAGATTTCCCTGCAGAAGGGAGAGCCTGAAAACAGGCAAAAGTCTGGGTAAGAAGTGATGAGGATCTGGACCAGTGCACTTAGCTGAAATCAGGATGAGGGCCAGCGAGCAGCTGAATGAAACGGCAGCAGGCAGTGTCCAGGCAAAGTCTGAGGAAGGTGTTGTCGTGAAGTGAAAAAGCACACTCAGGTGTTAGGAATGTTCTGTGTGGGTAACAGAGTGTTGATTAATAAGATGCTAGATACATTTTAAGATATCCTTAATCTCTCCACAAGCATTCCACTGCCAGCCATTCTGAAAATGGATGAAGCCTCAAAGAGTCCGATTAAGAAAATTCCAACAAAAATTCTTCTTAATCTCGAATTATTCTGTTTTTAAAACTGCATATTCCAGTCCAGTCACAAGACCACAGGTCAATCTTGACTCATATTCACATTAATCATGCTAGGATGTACAAGTTCAAATTATTAATGCCAGGCCTATTCATGCTACTCCTCATTACTTTCCAACTAATTCCAGAATGAAGTGAGGCAAGAACTTGTACAATTGATCTGATTAGGAAGGTCAGAAGAGAGGTGGCAATGAGTAAGGAAAGATGAATGATTTAGCAAGACAAATAGCAATGAAAAGAAGCCTATCTATGAGGTCAGCAAAACCTCTCTAGATTGTAGAGCACCAGCTTTAATGGTGCCACTGAGGAGCTGCTTTACCCCCTTGCTGGCCCACTACGTCATTACGCTCAGAAAAACCGCAGCAAACACATTCTGCAGAAAACCGTAAGAAGTTCCCATAAACACTAAGCCAGAAGGGATAAAAAAAAGCATATATACAGTTTTTCTTCCAATCAGCTGCCTGATTTTCATATACTTTATGGCTTCTGCTTTATTAATTCATTTCTATCTGATTCCTCCTAGAGGCCGGGCACTCAGACTGGCATGTATAATAGCAGTTGCTTTGAGGCTTTTCTAAAATGTGGCTGTGCTTAGTAATTGCTTTCCTCTGGGTGGTGGGGAAGGGTCACATCTGACCTGAGCAGTCATTTCAGTGGATACAGGTTAAAGTTAAATACATGATCAAGAGAAAGGAACCTTAATTACAAACATGGAAAAAAAATGAAATTTAAAACCTGCTTGACCTTTTGATAATACAGAGATAAAGCGAAGGTAATAAAGCTGACATCTCACAGGAAAGCTATGATAAGAAACCCATAAAATGACTTGAAGTGCTTTAGATTTACAGAGGCCTAATTAAATGCCAAGGATCAGTAATAAGAACCTTAGATTATGCACACAGTTCCTTTATCCCATGAGTTCAAGATGATATTACTAACCCTCTGGTATTATAATGCAATATACAAATCTAGGTTCCACTAGAGCAGTGGTCCCCAACATTTTGGCACCAGGGGCCAGTTTTGGGAAGACAATTCTTCCATGGCCTGGGGTTGGGGGCAAGGGAAGAGATAGGAGGCAGAGCTCAGGTGTGTGTGTAGGGGGGCAGACAGGAGGTGGGGAGGAGGGAGGTTGGGGACCCCTGCTCTAGAGTATGGAACAGAGAGTAGAATTGAAAGCTGCTTTCTTTCAAAAAAATGTACCGTATTTACTTTAAGAAAGAGAAAATTATCTCCAGATAGTTTAACCCCATGACAGCAAATTTTAAATGACTTTAGAAGGCAAAAGATAACTGTTGTGGTTTTTTTTTTTTAAACTGAATTGAGAGCAGGAAAATATACTGAGGCTACAGGGCTTAGAAATGGTGCTTCTCAAATTCCATGCATGATCTGAAAATTATTTGCTTAATATAAAGTAGTCAAAGCAATAAAGATGCAGAAGTAGTTAGTGACAATAAGGAGAGTAACCCAGATACAGGTAAAAGTAGTATGAGGTGTAAAACTGAAAAGGCCAAAAACATTTGAGAGGAAATCTAAGGGCACAACATCAAGTGGCAAATTGATATGGGGGTGGCTGGGGCAGGGGAAAGTGGTGGCAGGAAAATGGAGACAAATGTATCTGAACAATAAAAAGAAAAAAGAAAAAAAAAGAAAATCGATAGACTCATAAAAAAGAAGGGTATTTGTGCACACTATTTTAAGTAAAACTGGAAATGGCAGGGCAGGTAATTCTACCCACTTGAAATCATTTTACCCAAATATTTATTACACAAAAGGTTCTTCGATTCTTCACAATGCTTATGACACAAATAATTACATAATTTTATAATTGATATTTCCCATCTGATTCCCAAACTCCATCTGATTCCCAAATTCTATTCAGGAACATCTGCAGGGACACGGAGCATCTGGCAGATCACAGTCCCAGTAAATCCAAATGGAATGAGTGCTCTGCAACCTTTTCAAATGCCGCTGTTCACCATGTCTCCAAGGAATGCTACGCTTGCACTTCCTCCCTCTCTAGCTCGGCATGTCTGCTACTTCAACATACCAATTAATTCCTGCTGCTGTTTATGAAGCACTTACTGTGTGCCAGGTATTGCACTAAGCTCTTTCTACCCATTATTTCTCTTCATGCTCCGAACAACCCTCTGATTAAGCACTAATATGTTAATCTCAAATTCACTGACCTGAGTCCTGTGGGGGCTTTCACAGCTAACATATCCTGGAACCTCACAGGAACCCTTCCATTTCCTGGAGCAGCAAGAAGGAGGTGCCCCCTTCACTCCCATGTGACAGAGGTAATGGGGATGCAGAGTTGTTTCATAGGCTGGAAATTAAAAAATCTGAGTCCTAGACTTGGCTCTCCCACCAATTCCCTGTGTGACCCTGAGAAGCCGCTGAATCTCTCTGATCATGTTCTCTCCTCTCTAAAATGAAAATAACTACAGCTACATTTATTATTTTTTATGGGCTATGAGTTTTAAAGATTTACCACTGAAACCTCAGGAACAATTGTCTGAGACAATTATTACAGGGTGTGACAAAAGTAGGTTTACAGTTGTTTCTATTGAAAATAATAATTAATAAATAATGATACAAGAATAAACTGTTTCATGTACTCAGAACTGTAAACTTTTGCCCCATCCTGTATTAGCTTCAGCTCACAGGAGGATAAAGGCTTAAAAGTTAAGAAACTTGCCCATACATACATATGAAGTAAATGAAATCACTACCTTAAAGAGATATCTGCACCCTTATATTCAATACAGCATTATTCACAAGAGCCAAGACATGGAAACAACCCAAGTGTCTCTAAGTGTCCATCAACAGATGAATGGATAAACAAAAACATACAAGGGAATATTACTCAATCATAAAAAGGCAATCCTGCCATTTGTGACAATGCAAACAGGCTTTGATGACATTATGCTGTGAAATAAGTTAGAAAGAGAAAGACAAATACTGTGTATCACTTATATGTAGATCCTAAAAAAAGATGAACTCATAAAAGTTACCAGGGCTGGGGGTGGTGGAGGTGAGAAAATGGAGAGATGTGGGTCAAAGGGTACAAACTTTCGTTATATAGTCAGAGTGAGTTCTTGGGATCTACTATTCAGCATGGTGACTACAGTTAACAATACTGTGTTATATAATTTAAAGTTGTTGCCAAAAGAGATCTTCAAGTTCCCACCACACAAAAATTCTAATTATGTGAGGTGATGGAGATGTTAACTAACCTTACTCTGGTTATCATTTTACAACATATGCATGTATCGAATTATCACATTGTGCAGCTTAAAATTACACAATGTTATATGCCAATTACATCTCAATAAAGCTGGAAGAAAAAAAATTTAAAACAAAACAAAGAAAAAAAAAGAAACAGAAGGAAACTGGCCCACAATAGATATGTGTCCTAAGGGGCTGGGCAGGACCCAGGGCTGGAAGCCAGGTCTGTAGGACTCTCCAACGAGTGGGGACAATGCAGTGTTGTTCACGTGGCACTTGCATCACTTCTGTCACAAGTGGTACCTCTGGTACTATGACTCACCTATTATGCTGTATTTAAATCTACTAACCTTACACTGCCACTTTAAATGGGAAATCACTATCATTTGCCGTAAATAGTGGGTAATCCTTCTCCAAAAAATGAGATGAAAACAAAAGATGTGAAAACGAATCTATCTAGGTACAGAGATGCCGGCTGAAAGCTCTGACTTTGGGGAGTGCTGCTTTAAAAATCAAGAAAAAAAAAAAGAACAGCAGTAACTAGCCCGCGTTTCATGCCTCAGAGACAGTCTAGCGTTTCATGCCTCAGAGACAGTCTAGAAAGCCACTCTGAGCCCGGCTCCTTGGAATCCTAAATAACTGAAAAGGGGAGGACTTCCCAGCCACCGGGGTCTGCGCCGCTGACTACCGTCCTGTGTACCCACTGCCACAGGGCTCGTCCTACCTGAGCGGCCACCCCGCCCAGGTACAGCCAGGGTCGCCCACACGTCCCCACCCCACCTCCTCACTCGTTGGAGCCACGGCGTCCCGAGTGCCCAAGTAGGGGTGGCCCTCTCGACCCCAGCCCACTCACAGCGACGGCAAACGACGCCTCAATAGTCAACCACGCGAGACCGGGGAGGGCAGGACTCAAGTGACCAACGCCAGCCCGTTTGTGCGCCTTCTGACTGGACTCCTGGAGGCACTTCCTGGCCTCTCTAGGAAGCCTGGAGGTCTTGGTATCTCTATGGTGCACAGGTTTCATCCACTCTCACCTCTGCTGGGGCAGCAGGTTCATGCCATGCATCTCCCTCACGTGCCTAGCCCCTACATATTAGCTTCGTGGGAGTTCTTACAGAGTCAGGTCTACTGCTATTCCCTCCTCCAAGTTCTGCTTTTGGACTTCCACCTCCATCTCTGTGACTGCCCCGCTCCATCATCTGCTCTCCCTCCAGCTAAGCACAGTACCTTATAAATTGGGGGGTGGGGTGGGGGGGAGGCTCAGCTGAGTATTGGATAGATAGGTGGAAGCGGGGCGGGGGGGGGCGGGGGGGATGGATGACTGACGAATGAGGCTCCATGAGACCCCTACATATTTTAAAGTCTCCGTCTATCTTTTTAAGTTTGTATTTATCTTTGAGTTTCCACATTTATGTGTCCATGTGTTTTCCCGAATTTCTGACTTTCACTATTTTTTTCCAGTTCTACTTCTGGTCACTGAACAAGCAATAAAGCCAAGACTAACCTTTGTTGCAGAAGGAACTGAAGACTTACAAAAGCAATGTAAAAAGGAAGGTTGGCATCCTCACTCAAAGGTCTTCCTGAGAGGTCCGTCTTTTGTCTCCTTAACAGGAGTCTGGTTCTATGGAACTAGGTTCTGCGTGATAATTTGCTTGAAAGTCTCTCTCTCTCTCTCTCTCTCTCTCTCTCTCTCTCTCTCTCACACACACACACACACACACACACACATGCCTGGCTGAGCAGATTTCATACTGGTAGCTCAAAGGATGGAGATTTTGACACCATAAGCTCTTCTTGCTGCATTCAGACTCAAAGAGGCTCATGTGAAGTATGTCACTTACTACTGTTTCCATTAAGAACACAAAGTCCCAAGGACAACCTCAGTATAAAAATGAATGAAGGCCAGGTGAAGAAAGCTAAGTCCCCAGCATTGACCTCTCTGATCATGTCCATCTGTCTTGTCCTCAGCTGTGATCCAGCCATAAATCTTTGGACACTGAGATATGGCTGTACCAAATAGTCTTAAGGAACAACTTAGCTCTGGCTTCCCAGGATGCATAAAAATTAGAAAAGGGAAAGGGGAAGGCTAGTGAGGGTTTGAGAGAGCAGCTACATGCTCTTGAGACCAACAGTCAAAGAGGAAAAGACTCCTCTGAGGCTGCAGCTCAGGAGACAGATGTTCCACTGGGGATTTCAGGGTCTCTGCGGGATGCCCAGGATCTACAGCATGTTGGTTGCACATGAGAATAAGTGTGGCAGATTTAAATGCTAATATTTTTGTGCCACCAAGGACTCTTTTAAAATCTAAGCACTATGTTTTAAAGGAAAATTACAAACTTTATAATTACTTCCTTAGTTTCTGCTGTAATTTAGTGAAATTTAGTAAAGTTGATTTTGTAAAGGTCTGAACAAGAAATCAAAGATAGAACTAACCAGAGAAAGAAACTGACCTCAGTGTGAGTTTATATGCTGATGCTTATTTAGTTTCTTTCTCCCAATAACATGTCCAAACAGGGACTACAATGCATAAAAATCAATTTATAGTTATAATTCCTCACAGGTGTACCCTTCATACTTTACAGGGTACTTTCAATGAACCTATTGGCTCATTGGATCCTCACAGAAATTCAGTATGTGGCGTCCAAGTTTTCTGCAGGAAGGGAAGCAAGAGGTTGGCTTTCCCCAACATCCCCATTTAAACCAGGTCTCCTGCAACCCTTGAAATTATCCAGTCCCTTCACAACACTTAGTCCATCTGAAATTATCTCTTATATTACTAGAGCAAAAGCTCTAGTAGGGCAGAGATCTGCTTGACTAATGGCACATCTCCACTTCTATTATAATGTCTGACATAGAATTTAAAAGAATTACTGAATGAATGAGCAAGTGATTAAATGTCACATCTCTGTTATGTCTGTTCAAAACCAGATTTGCAGGCGAGACCTTCTCCTTGGCTCAGTTTAGTTCAGAAAACACCCCTATTATAGTCAGCTCTGGCAAGAGGGTACAAGAACAGCGATTAATGGCCCACTGCTATAAACTGAGACTATTTCTAGAGAAGGGAAGTCATTGTGACACTTAAGGGAAGACACCATAACACTGCTCAAAAATGTGAAGCTCCAACATCAACATCACCTGGGAGCTTATTAAAAATGCAGATTTAAGGGTCCTACTCCAAACCTAACAAGAATCTGAAAAATTCTAGCAAAATATAAAATTCTCCAAGGAATTCGTATATGCAGTACAGGCTGAGGCATATTGCCCTAAATGGTATTTACCACTACAACTGCTGAGGTGGGGAAGAGATTCCTTGTAGTGGTCCCATGCTACACCTGGAAGTCAAATGAAGTTAAGTGATTTGCTCAAGGTCACAGAACCAGTAATTGACAGAACTGGGATTAAAATCCAAGACTTCTGATCCCAAATCCCTCTATACACCATGCTCCTTCTACTATACAACCCTATCTTCTGGATAACTCTGTTTTCTTCCATTAGTGAAAAAAAATTAAAAGGAAGCAACAAATAGAAAAAATAGTTACATTTAATTGGTGGCTAATGGTTTTAAAAATTGATTTGTTTTAGAAAGGAAAACTAGTATTTATCACTTACAGTGCATTTGATAAAATGTTTTCCCCATAATAAAGAACTCTTCAAATAACAAAAATAAATGTTTATGTTTCATTTACTTAGCAATTAAGCATCTTAACATTCTTTTATAATCATTTATAGCACTGACTAAAAATTATCAGGCATTGTGTTTGGGTCAATAGTTCTTCTTTTTCCTTTTAAGAATTTGAGATATCTCATTATTATGATCCATGCTTTTCTCGGTACTGATTATACTAAGTATTTAAATATTGCTGATTGAAACTAAATGTTATTTTGAGTGTCTTGGCCAAAGGCTTTCTGTTTAGGGCTCAAGCACTGGAGGTTTCTTAGAGGGACACAAAGAACCCGCTGAGATAGTACAACTTACCTCTACCACTTTTGTTCTTTACTATTTTCAGTGATTGAAAAGTGTGGATACCAATACGTTAGTCTGGTCTCTTTGGGTTGAAACTCATAGAAATCCACCACAATTTAGGTAAATCAAAGGTAGGAATGATTGACTTCTGTAGCTGGAAGCCTGTTCTGAGTTACTTCACCACCTCCTAAGAGGAGGCACCCCTTACTCAAAAGGTGGCTCTGGCTTCAGGGCTGCAAACATTATCAGAACTCTGTCCCTTCATCTCTTAGCTCCTCTTGCTACTGGTTGGCTGGTAATCTTCCTGTGCCAACAAGATGGGACACCTTGGCTGTCAAAGCCAACAGCTTCCTAATACCTTAGATCCTTGAGAAAGACTCCCCTCCCCACCTATTTCTTCCAGGAGTCCCAGGGAGGACTCTGATTGGACAGTCATGGGTTATCTGATCATCTCTTAGCCAATCACTGTAACTGGGAGATGATATATGCTGATAGACTAAGACCAGATTATTATTTACCTGAAATGATGTATTGGTTTCCTATGGCTGCTATAACAAATTGCCACAAACATGATGGCTTAAAATCACACATATTTATTCTCTAACAGGCTACAAATCTAAAATCAATTTTATTAGACTAAAATCAACGTGTTGGTGGGGCTGGTTCCTTCTGGAGGCTCTAGAAGAGAATATGTTTCCTTGTCTTTTGCAGTTGATGAGCCATATGCTTTGCATTCCTTGTCTGATGGCCCATTCCTCCATCTTCAAGGTCAATAACATAGCAGTTTTAAGTATCTCTTTGCTTCCATTGTTGTCACATGGTCTTCCCTGTCTTCTATAGTTTAATCTTCCTTTGCCTCCCTCTTATAAGGATACTTGTAGTAACATTTAGGGCCCACTCAGATAATCCAGGATAATCTTCTTATCTCAAGATCCTTAACTTAATCATACCTGCAAAATCTTTTTTGACATGGAAGGTAACATTCAGAGGTTAGAGGGATTAGAACATGAATATCTTGGGGGATCAATTCAGCCTACCACAGATGGGATCCAGTTCCACCCAACCACTGGATAAAGAAAGATTATTATAGAATATGACAGGTATGATTTCCCTAAAAAAGGGATTCTTGGTACATAACCAAAGAACATATTAACCAACCAACAAAAGCAATGTTTGCTTTGTGGAAGCCTGCAAGTTGTTACCAAAAATACGTCTCTCCCTTCTTCCATAATAACAGTATTTTATTAACATGTGACCATCCAGAATAAAAACTACATTTAACCTCAAAAGCTAGGTGTGCTCATGTGGCTAAGTTTTTGCCAATACAGTGTGAGAGGAAATGGTGTGTCCAAAATTTGCATCACAAAATTGATGCAAAAACTCAGCTTGGTCAGTGAATCAGCTTCAGCACTGTAGAGAATAGTACCCTAGGGGATATTGGAGCAACAAGATAGAAGGAACCTGGATCCCTTAATATCCTTGTGTTGTAGAGCTGTCTCACCAATCTAGATTGGCTGTACCGTTACTTATTTATGTCACTAAACATTTTAATTAAAATTTTTGTTAAGAGAATTGTAGATTCACCTGTAACATTTTGTAAAACTATGATATAATACCACAATCAAGATATTGACATTGATACCACACGTCATATTCAGATCTGCTCACTTGAGTGTGTTTTACATCTACTCACTTGAGTGTGTGCATGTGTATGCTTGTGTATCTAGTGCTTTACAATGTTTATCATGTCTTAAATTTTTGTATCAAATCAGTATAATTTGAGGGTTTGCTGTTTTCTTTTTTTTTACCAGCTTAGATTTTATACCAGTACAAGACAGGTGAGAACAACATGTGACAAGAAAGAATGATGTATTCAAAAGAAGAAGATAATACGTATTTCTGAATATATCAGTAACCTGAAATAAATTTCACTGGGCTAAAGTCAAGGCATTGGTGGGTCTGATTCCTTCTGGA